TCATTTCTACGGACACTGGTCATTGCCAATCACCACACCTGCTGGCCCCAATCTGCCATTAACAACAAATAACCTGTCATTCCTTCTCAAAAAGACCTCCATCTTTGGGACCCCATGTTCTTCCTCTTCAGTGACCTTTCCCGGCTGGCCTCTCCTCTTCCCCTGGCCTCAGCGAAGTGCTCCAGAGTTCGGGGGTGAAGAACTCTGAGTCCCGGCGACCCAGGTGGGGCGAGCCGCTGGCTCTGGAGCCTCACTGTGAGGCCACGGCACAGCTGCCTCAACTCTACCCCCAGGGCCGCGGCGAGAACTGAAGGCCAGCGCTGCCCGCAGAGGATACTGGTCCCCGCCCAGAGCAAGCACTTGTCCGCTGTTCCTGCTGCCCGGGATCGCAGGCCGGCTGGGGCCCCTCACAGGAAAAAGCGGCTTCAGCAAGCGCAGGCGCACTGCATGAGGTCGCCGCTGTCCCAGAGCGCAGGGACCCATAGCAGCGGCCAGTGGCTGCAGAGGGGCGGGTGACTCATTTTCTCTATCCCCCCATCAGTCCACCATACAGCCGAGGGGGTCACAAGTGAAAGCAGCTGCTGACCTGGCCCTGCAGACTCCCCAGCCAGAAGAAGACCCGAGGAGGACCGTGGAGAGGGCGGCGTGGGGAAGATGCGCGCTCATGGGGACAAGTCCTGGAGGCTTGGGGAAAGCCCGAGGGCGGAGGACACAGAGCTGCCCACGCCCTGCTGCCTCTGCGCTAGAATTCCTGCTTCCACACAGGGCAGACCAGGAAGGACCGCCATGGCCTTCTGGAGGAAGTAACGCACCCCCCAGCCACGTGGGAGAAAAATGTCACCCAACCAGACACACGCAGAGCTCAGAAGCGCAAGGTCCTGCTAGAGGGCACGCTGGTATAGCTCCTTTCCTTCCATCAGAAGCTGTTGAAACAAACCTTTCATGCCAGACGCCTGATGTGGGGGCCATCACTAGGCCATCTCCTAACAGCTGTGCCCTCTCCTCCCTGGCATTCCTTGGCTAAGGTGCCAGGGAAGGCTTTCTGGGAGCTGGGCGTGGGTGTGTGATCCAAACTGGACTATGAGACCCGAGGGGTTGTGTGCTGGGGCTTCTGGGCAAAGGTTTCCTCCTTTGTAAAAGAGTACATCTGAGAAGAAATCCCCTTTCCTGCTTTTGGAGACCATGGGAAGAGAGGTGATGCTCAGACTGGCAGCCATCTTAGTACCATGAATGAGGAAATGGGCATGACGCTGAGAATAAGGAACCTAGGTTCCCCCGATTAACTGGGAACCTGTTACTCCTGGCCTTATGTGGAACAAGCAGCATGCTGTTGCTTAATCATTGTTGGCTGTATACTTTGTTACTTTTAGGCAAAAGGATCCTAAATTATTCACAGAGCAATGGGTGAACTAATGTCAGCTGGGATGTCTAAATGGGAATATCCACAGCTAGAAATCAGCCATAGTTCTGCGGCAGCTCTGGCTTTACTAGTGGACTTCAACCCAAAAGACACAGTGAGGGACTGGGACTGTAGCTCAGTGGTACAGCGTGTGCCTGGCATGTGTGAGACACTGGGTTCAATCCTCGGCACCAGAGAATAATAAATAAAGGTATATAAAACAAAGAACACTATTAAAATAAAAAAAGACACGGTGAATGAAAGTTTATAAGATTTACAATCAAACTATGAGCACCAACACTGAAAGGCAGGAAAAACCACACAATAAAATCTTCTTGGAAAACAAGAAAAATATTGTCTACCTTTGGCCACTTTTTTTTTTTTAATTAGTTGCCACTACTCTTCTATATAGGGAATTTAAACAGATGCAGGATGGTATTTTAGTCTAAAATTTCATTCACAACGAAATGAAAACTTGCAAGTCAAAAGAAGTTAATATCAGCCTCCCAATCATCATCTCGTACTGAGGTGCTATTTTATCCTGGAACTGTTGTAGCCCCGTGGAAATCTAGTAACTGTGAGGCCGCGTGTATAAGCAAAAGGATATCTTGAAACAAAAAATGTGAAACCAAAGTTATTTCCATTCCCTCCGAATAAGACACACATCCACATGAAAGAAACTTCGCCATCGAAACATATTTTCCTTACTGAAACTGGAGTTTCAAGCCGTGTTTATAACAACACTGTTGCTGTGGAAATAGTTGATTCACGGCTGGATAAAGCAAGGTGTGGAGCCGAAGTCTTATTTAAACAGTGGCAGGACCCATAAAACATTAAAAAGGCACCCTGAATGGCAGTGAGTCAGAGCGCCATATGTTTTAATGTAAGGGTCACACTTGGTTTTTTTCCCCTGATGACACAAATGGGACGTTTCTTATTAATTTCACCCTGTTTGGAACCCTACAATCATCCTACCTACTCCCCCAAACGTCCTGGGTTTTGCGTCTGTGTGTTGTTACCTGCGGGTGCTGGAGCAGTGCCCCAGGTCAGTCCCCAGAGCACTCGAGCTAGGATCCAGCCACCGTGCACAGCTGCATGAGGCCCCATCACACTGGCTGCAGCCCACCTGTCACCTACAGCTTAAGGAAGCGCCAGAAATCATGAGTCCAGATGGACTTCGCCCAGCTGGCCCCACTCCATCCTGGCCGCTGATGGTCAGGGTTTCGCAACCACTTTGAAGGCCCTGGGCCGGGCTGACTTTGGGACCCTGCGCTCCTCTGCTTTTCCTCCCCACGTTCCAGACACTTCTTCAAACCCACAGACCCCTCTTTCCTGTCCTTTCCTTCTGGTTTTCTGAATGTTTCCAAACACTCTGAGGCTGAAATCTTACCCCTTATACAATAAAACACACTCAACAGTTTTGAAAATGAGGGCGACGTTCGGGGCTATAAAAAAAACGGACCTTTCTTGGCAGGCAATGGCAACAGCCAAGTGGCTCTGTAAATAGAAATCCGCTCCCCCGCCTGCAGCCCAGGGTGTGGCCGCCCTCCGCTGCTGCACAGAAGATCGATTCATACCAGCAGAACCGGAAAAGTCACCACCAAGAGCCACTGTGGAAGCAGCAAGAGCCAAGAGTGCCACGCAGAGCCCGTTTCCCTCGGTGACTCAGGAAGCACTCCTGCCAGGCCACGGCTTGCCCACCTCCTGCGGCTCAGAATGTAGGTCAGGCTCCAGGCTCGAACCTCGGGGCCAGGGTGAGAGGCCAGAGCAGGAGCCAGGATTCCCCGGTTGCAGGGAAGCCCCTCTGCTCGGCCGGGCTTTGGGCCTGGCCTGCCCTCCACTGAGCCTCTGCTGCCACAGGCCATGGAGTGCCCGCAGCCACCCTGTACCTTCTCATCAGGGTGCCCAGGATGACAAGTTAGGTTTCTGAATAATGGATGGTTGGCTCACCCAGCTCGGTGGACACCAGAGACCCGGTGGCAATTTCCCCCATCTTGGCCACTCCATCGTAGTAGGCTTTTCCTGCGAGGATCATAGCTAGACAGCAAAGGGAACACACAAAATCGTCACTTAGACAAGGAAAGGAGGAACTGACACAAGTTTTCTTTCAAACATCCCAGGTCCCTCCTGGCTATGGCAAATGTGGCCTGGAGGCGGGACTCATGCCTGATGGCTGTGCTGGTAGCCTCTGCCCACAGCAGAGCCCCATCAGATCCTCATCTGGGACCAGCCTAGGAAACTTCAGCAATAGGAGCCAGAGGTCCAGAGAAGGCCCTGGCCACTCCTGGCACCAGTTCCAGAGCAGATGTGCCCGACACCCAATCAGGATTGGGAACACATCTACTCCAGCGAAAACTCTTTTCCCAGATGGTTATTCTATAGCACTACAGGTCAGCAACATTATTAGTTAGGAGGACTTGAGTGGGGAGTCTAAGAACCTGGTCCTTTGATGGTACGTTTTTTTTTTTTCTATTAAAAAAGACATTTGAAATCACAAAGAGCCAGCATATTTGCTACCGGGGAAACCTATGAAATTTGAAATATAGTAGCAACCCCCCCCAAAAAAAAAACCAGAATTATTTAGGGGGGAGAACCCAACAAAACAGAATGCTCCTCCTCCCTTTTTGGCAGAAACAGAAAAATGTTTATTGCCATATGAGCTGGGTTCGAATTATTTTAAAAACATTTCCCCCTTCAAACTGATTTTGAAGACTAAACTATGACTCCATGACTTCTGTGGACAAGTTGCATATCCTTTCTGAAATGAGGTTGTTCATCCATAAAATGCCCTAATGATGAGAGTGTCTGATGAAAAAATGGCAGCTGCTCCCTGGGCCCAGTGGCCCACACCTGTAGTATCAGCTCCTCAGGAGGCTGAAGCAGGAGGATTGCAAGTTTGAGACCAGCCTGGGCAACTCAATAAGACCCTGTCTTGAAATAAAAACTTCTACCCAGGGCTAGGCAGATAGCTCAGTGGTTCAGCTTTCCTGGGTTCAATCTTTAGGACAGAGGAGTGGGAAACGTGGCTGCCGATGGCAGGGGCCAGAGCAAGTGCAGCTTAAGAAGGAAGGTGCTCGACAAGCCGGCCTTGCCACGATACCTTGTAGGTGATTTTGGAGAAAATAATTTATTTTACTTTACTCCAAAGATTAGTTTCATACATAGAAACTGGCTTCTCCTGCAGCTTTAGGTATGGCAGGATTTTAGAACCCAAAGGACCCCCTGTCCAGTCACCGCCTTTACCAAGAGGACAATGAGAGGGTGTCCCAGCTGCTTTGCCTACTTCATAACCAGCATATTCTTAAAGAGTGGATTTAAAAATATATATGTATTATATGTAAAGATGGCTATATTCTATTTTTGATGAAAACAAAACCAGATGCATATCAAAGACACAATGACCACAGTTGTATCAACATCTATATTTATGTAACTATTCTAAAGATAGCCGGGAAAGGCCCTAGTAAAAATGTTAATTTTTTTTAAATTAGTTGTTGATGAATTTTTAAAAAATTTATTTGTATGCGGTGCTGAGATTTGAACCCAGGGCATCACACATGCTAGGCACGGAGTCTGCCACTGAGCCACCCACGGGGGAGTTGGTGGGGTATAGCTCAGTTGGTAGGGCACTTGCCTCAAACGCACAAAGCCCTGGGTTCGATCCCCAGCACCATCACCCCCACACACACGGTAGGAGGGGGCAGAGAGTTACATCAGGTCCAGCTGAAGGCCAAAACAAATAACCCAATTTTATGACAAATTTATCTATTATTGTAGACATTTAAAAATTTTAAGTTACAGCATTTACTATGTCTGTATAGAAGTTCAGGAAATGCAGTGTTCTGCTGTACAATTATTTTATATGACTGGGGATAAACTTAAAGCATAATTACAAAAAGAACAACAGCAATTACCATTTATATGACTTTTCAAGCCATTACTTGGTTAATCTACCCTATAATGTCAATGGGAATGTTATCAGCCTCTCTTGTGAAGGGGAGTGGGGTGGAGATATCCTGGGAGGTCCCCAAGGTCAGCAGTGAGTCAGAGACAGCCACACAGCTCCAACTCCACTTCCTTAGGCCTAAACTGTGGTGCTTTTTGACTCTCTGGTCTTAGCTGGGATGAGAAAACAGTGACTCTACCTCAAAACATGGTGCATGACCAGTAAACTGTCAAGTTAATATATGCATTTTAGAATGAAGATTTTAAATTGTAGAGTACTGATAAGCTGAAAAGCCAGTTAGTGGGAGAACGGCATGCAGGATTGCACAATATTTAAACAAAATTTCTGGTTTGCATCCCCACGTGAAATCGAAAAATTTCATTAACTGTTGACTTACATTTAAAGCCATGTAATCTTGTCAGTCTTAAAAAATGTATTTGCTTTTATGATAAAATTAACTTTAAAATTATATAACTTGCTGGGCACCGTGGTGCACGCCTATAATCCTAGCGGCTCGGGAGACTGAGGCAGAAGGATCACAAGTTCAAAGCCAACCTCAGCAACCTGTCTCTAGATAAAATATATAGAAGGGCTGGAGATGTGGCTGCTTGGTGGTTAAGTACTCCTTGTTTCAATCCTCAGTGCAAAAAAAAAAATATTATAAAATTTTATATATATTATAAAATTATGTATATAATAAATGTATCTAGAACTAATAATAAAGTAACATTTTAATAATTTTGCCTCCTTTTGGGAACACAATTCTTATTGTGTTTCTACTACTTATTGTTTAAGGAAAGAGGCATATTTGTTCCACTTTAGTGGCTGGTAAACTATTTCATCACACTAGATAAACTATATACATACCTCTACCAGCTAAGTTTTCCTTAAAATAGTTTTGTTGGGTTACTTGCCCTGTTCAAAAGCCTTTAATGGCCTCCCTTGGCCAGTAGGGTAAACCCATGCTCCCTGGAGATCATGGTAGATTTTTACAGTAATGGCCTTCAATGAACCACACCTCCCAGAATTCCATCTGTGTGGTTCCCAGCCACACTGAAGGTAGGTTGGCCATGTGACTTGCTTGCTTTGACCAGTGTGGCATCGGCAAGCACCAGAGATGCTTGATTGGTGCTAGGTATTGGTGCTTATATTCTCGGGACACCACCGCTGTGGTGTGAGGAACCAGTGTGGTCTCACTGAAGGGAAAGACCTCGTGAGGAGAGAGCTAGCCCAGTTCCCAGCCTTGATCTGGGGCTCAGCGGATTGCAGCTGCAGAAGTGAGTTCCAGGTGTCTGAGAACTGTCCTGCCTTCACAGAAGAAATCACAAACTGCTGTCCAAAGCCACAAGTCTGAGGACGGCTTGTTGTACAGCAACTGTGACTATGATGGATTCAAATGCATACACAAGCCAGCCCTTCCACCTATTCCGCACCAGCCGTATCCAGGCCGGCCGGACCCAGGGTTTGGCCTGGACGCTGTTTTTCTGAGTGACACAGCGGGCGCCTGCTGGAGCTCAACATCTGTTGGCCAGTGAAGCTCCCGCACGGCCTCCTGCCTGCTCCAGTCCACAGCAGCCCCCGCTGACCAGCCTCCTGGGACACGGTGTCCACACGGCTCTTATTCATTCAGTGTTCTCCATTTTATAATCGGCTGACTGCACATCTGGCCGGCATCCTCAACTCTACTCCAAATCCCCACCAACAATTTTATAAATATTTAAAATTTCTCAGTGGCTTTGGCAAAACTATGGCCAGATGGACTGCAGAAACTCTGGGAATGCTTGCGAATTAGTGAATCTTCTCCAGGAGGTGTTAAAGTGAGAAGTCTTGCTGGCAGGACGCCACTCTGTGGGCAGCTCCCTGACCTACCTTGCAATTCCGCCTCAGAGAGGCAGGGGAAAAAAACACCACCCCTCTGTGGGCCACAGTGATCTCCTTCACAAGGACGTCTACAGCAATGACTCTGGGGCTTGTGATTAAGCAACCACCCAGGGAGAGACAGCAATGCCAGGCGGGCTCTTGCCCTCTGAAGGAGGGAAGGCGCCTGCAGACGGCACTGAGGCTGGGGGTCAGGGGGCTGGGGGTCCCCGACCTGCTGCCCTTCCTGACACTGAAAGTGTCAGGCAAAGCAAGCTCGGTGACGAAGTAAGGAAGCGGTTTCCTTCTCTGATGACTACAGCAACAATGCTCCCTGTCACCCACGGTCCAGCCAGCACATCCCCCTTTCCTGGGCTGCCTCTGCTAAGGGACACAGGCCACAGGTTTATTTTTGAAATATCAACAGGGAGCACGGTGGGGTGTGGCGGAAGAGAGAAGGAAGGGGTAAGTTAAAAGCCACTTGATCTGAAGTGGCTGAAACTTGATCTGAAGACTTCTTCAGATTTAAACCACTGGAAACTAAAGTTTTTACTTATGTTTCTTGACGATCCTGGTGAACCAGGGTAGAAGGTGAACCCGGAGTGTGGATATCTGGGATGGGTGGGTAACACCAGCCATACAGGAAGAATTGTCTTGACCATGTCAGAATGTGGTGATTGTCAGCGCCTTAAGATCTTAAGGTGATTATGCTTGAATTATAATAGCATCTATTTTTTAGCAGGGAAACACATGCTTACCTGCATATCAGTTTTCTCAATGAAACTTTGAGTTTGTGAACAACACTAGTTCACAGAGAGGCAAATGTCAACACTCAAGTTTATTTTTAAATGAATGAGAAGCTTGTTTATTTTGAAATGAGAATCTAAGTCCAAACTCTGTATGTTTTTCCATTTGGACTAAAACTACTAGTTCTCATGTTATTTCCAAAAGTGCTACATTTAAAGGCAAGAAAATCTTTGATATAAAAAAAAAGCAGAAAAATTCCTGTGTGCAGGACATGAACATGCATAATGTTTTAAATACACATTTTATATGTTTATTAGTCCACGGAGAATTTGGTTTAAAAAGGAAAAAACACACTGAGGGCAATGATGTAGAAGACTGAGCCACGTCAACAAAGCCCGATTTGAAGGTTAAAATGAGCCTGGCAGTCGCTGCATTCCGGTTCAACTCGCCTCATTTCATACACACTGAAGTCATCGTGCACTATCACTGCACAGTTCTGTGGATTCAATTAATTTTGCCATTTAAAGCTGTTTTAAACATTCAATGTTAAGCATTTAAAAATAAGTAAACTATTTACTGAATAACTTTTACATGGGCTTTACATTTATCAATGTAGAAAAACAGACTTACCATTAACAGCTTTTTCATAATTTTTTCCTAGGTTTATTAAATTTCGCAGCCCCGGGTTAAACTGTTCCATAACATTCTGACAAACAAACAAACAAAGCAAAAAAATTAATAAACAGCAGACCAAGCAATCTTCAGATTTTGCCACTGTGTGGCCTTGGATACCTGTGTGTGCTTACCAGTCGAGCCCCCAAAGTCACACATGTGGACTTAAAAATCACGAAGAGCCCATATTTCTTACCTGATGGAGCAGGTGGCAAGGTGTGTGTAACCCTGGCCGTTCTCACCTGTGCAAGGGCTGCTTGGAACCTACTATAAACGGAGCAAGCGGGCGACAGACATTCACAAGCCTGCCATGTCCTTTTACAGGGACTATGGTCCCAGAGGCGAGGGTGCCCTCTTGGGTGTAAGTGGATTGCTAATCGCTGTCACTCTAGTGTGAAGAGACGGGCTTCAGCTGCTCAACCCGCTACCTGAACTTAATTCACAGTCAAGGGCAGTGTTTGGGCTGCCCCGTGAATAGAACCTTCCAGGAGAGCCTGAAAGACAGGCAGATGACTCCTGCGGCGTGGACTTCATGAGGGGAGGACAGGGCACTGTATTTGGTCCATCTGGGAACAATGAGCTACACAGCGTTGACCATCCCACGTGGACTAGGGGAATCTCTCTGCCTCTTCTCCCCAGGTGTGTACTACCCGACATTCAGTGGGGACAGATTCTTCACACCCCGCAGAAGTAAAAGTTTCTCGATTGCTACCGGGAACAGAGAGCGCGTGGAGACTGACAGTCACCGAGCAGTGACCAGCTCGCCTCAGCCTTCCCCATTCTCACCCTTCGCTCCAGAATGCTTCCAGCCAAGCGCCTTTTCTCCTGCATGTCACCAGAGTCCAGAATGTTTTGTTTTCCCAATTTTAGATAGTAACTGGCTTCTTCCTACAGTCCACGAGGACCTAGCTCTCCACACCACTCCACTCTCCCTCTCTTAGTCCTTTTAGATAATCACATGGCAATGTTCTGGTGAATCAATAGTCAGAGTTTAATATGACTTTATAAATATTGGTCACAATTGAAGAATACACTAAAGATTACATTTCTTGGGGAAGCCTTTTTCTTATTTCTGAGATCAATAATTGTCTGATCTTACCCCTGCCTGCCATGCTCCGTTTTCTAGGTATCTTCAGCTCTCCCCCATGCTGTCTAGCAAAGACATACCAACACTGTTTCTCAAATATATATAACTGTCAGTTAACCTTCCATTCCATTCCCCCCAGAACCCCTCCAAGGACTCTGTCCTCCTGCTCAGCCTGTCCCCCTGTGGCCTTGCGTGTCCTTCTCTGGTTGCCTGGGGTGTTAAGAGCTCTCATTACCTGGGTCCACACCCTCCTTCCCCTCCTTTCTCCAGGAGAACATTCTCTACAACTGATCTAAGAAATTTTGTGCGAGAGGTAAGTTTGTGTCCCCATGTGTCTGAAATTACCTTTATCTTTTTGTTTGGAGTG